GCGGGGCCCCTTGCCCCCCCCCCCCCCCCAACGGCCTTTTAGACACTGAATTCAGTAAGATTAAAAAATGTCCTTTTGTATTTCATGCGTTGAAATGTTTCCTGTGTATTTACAAAAAAAAAGAATTCTACATCAATAATTTGATCGAACTGAAATTCGACCAAGTTTCCAATAACATTATTATTATTTAAACTAAACATGATAGCGTCCATATGAACTTCTGCCGTCTTCCACAAAATTCAGCAATCTTTTCGTATTTAACAATTTACGGCAAATTTTGAAACTTTCTGACCCCTATGAATTTTTTTGCCTCGTTTTTCGGAGCCCCTTGCTCATTTTTGTTGAGAAATCTTGTTGCGGCCCTGCTTTGGAGCCTTTTTAACTTCGGGCCTCGCGTTGTTTGGATCTCGCGCCGAAACAGGAAACGAAAAAAACGTTTGGGACCCCACTCTTTGGGACCTCGATTTTTAAATTTTGGGTACTAACGTTATCTGGGGACCATGGGCTCTTTGGAGCCCCGCGCTAAAACACTGAAACAGGGGAAAAAAACGTTTGGGCCCCCGCTTTTTGGGGCCGGCGTTTTTTAAGTTTTTGAGCCCCGCGTTTTCTGGGAGACTTGGGCTGTTTGGGGCCGCGCACTGAAACAGTGCATGTGCATCTCATTGACATACGTGTAAATTAAGATCAGATTTCATATCAAGTCTGTTTACTGCTACACAGATTTATCACACTAAGAAACCAAAACATTATAAAAATATAAAACTGACAGTGGCCAAAGTCCAAAACAAATGTAAGCGTAACAGTAGACTTGAAAAAGCTTCAGAAATTCGATAAATATCAAAGACTCGAGCGAGTTTAAAGTGTGTTTTCTGCGCATAGAAAGCGCGTGTAGCAGAGTGCCTCACAAAGTGTTTGGCAACTACACAAAATTAAATGAGTCGCACACAGTTTCGTTTTATGTAATCTGTAATTTACAATAGCGAATTTGCTTCGCTATAAAGAACCCTCGTTTAATAAAATATATGCAAACGCCGTCTCGTCAAAACAATAACCAATCTAGTGTATCATATGTCACTTCCTAAATATGTCAAAATAAACGCCTATTACTAATTAACTTATTAGTCAATTCGTACATATTCCCCCCTCACGTGAAACTTCGTCCCGAAGTTCAATAAAATATAATAAATCTTCAAATATTATACGTCTGATGTTGAGATGGCATTGAATGCCAAGCTCCTAGCACGTTCTCTACGCTAGATCTGTTGTTATCGTTTACCAGTGACAAAAGGACTGCCACCTTATTGCTCCACACCGGTTGAACGCCCAATCGTTCCGGGTGCTTCGATATTCTCCCTGATCGCGTAACGGATTGGTTTTCGTCAACGTTAACCTCTTCCTGTTGGGTTTCATTTAGTTCTTCCTCGATAGCCGGTTCCGTTTCTGGCAGGTCGTTTGCGGGTGCTGGTTCGTCAGTTACCGGAATGGCTTCTGGCATAACGAACGATGGCATAGTTGGATCCAGCGTTGTTCTATTGCTGGGTGTCGTACTGCGTGGAATAAATTCCTCTTCGGTATCACTTTCTTCTGTAACAACGTCACTCTCACATTCTGCTGCCGCAGGTCTTTGACGTAAATATGGAAGTTTCTTCTGCTTTGGTGAGGGTGAACTCCTGGGGATTCTGTATGGAAGCAGTAGGTTTCGATGCAGTACTCTCTCCCTCCCACCATCTACCGGTTTAACCGCATAAACAGGTAATTTTCCAATTTTTCGAACAACCACACATGGCATCGCTTCCCATCGGTCTTGCAGCTTGTGTTTGCCTCTCGTGCTCAAGTTCCGAACCAACACATGGTCGCCCACTTCAAGGAAACTTTCTTTGGTGTACTGGTCGTAATTCTTCTTGTTGCCTTCCGCCCGCTCGCGTATGGCCTTCGACGCGAGGTCGTACGCATGAGCCTGTTGCGCCCGAAGGTTGTCAACGTAAGCAGAGTACGGTTTAGACTTCTTGTCCAGTTGATCCAACCCGAGTGCGATATCGATAGGTAAACGTGGCTGGCGACCGAACATAAGGTAATATGGCGAGTACCCAGTGGACCCATGCTTTGTGCAGTTGTAGGCGTAAACCATTGGTGCGACGTAGCTTGGCCAGTCGGTCTTCTTGTCCTCACTTAGGGTTCCGAGCATGCCGAGCAGTGTTCTGTTGAACCGCTCCGTTTGGCCGTTTCCCTGGGGGTGATACGGCGTTGTTCTGGTCTTCTGGATACCAGCAACCCTGCAAAGGTCACCAATCAATCTTGATTCAAAATCTCGGCCTTGGTCAGAGTGTAATCTACGTGGTAAGCCATAGTGGACAAACACGTTTTCCCACAACACCTTGGCGACAGTTGTGGCCTTTTGGTTCCTAGTCGGAAAGGCCCAAGCATATTTTGTGAAGCTGTCCGTCACGACCAACACATCTTCATATCCTCCCTTCCCCTTTTCAATACTCAGAAAATCGATAGCTAGGAGTTCCATAGGTTCTGACGCCAAGATTGGCACCAGAGGAGCACGTGGAGGGTCAGCAGCTTTCCGCAAGAGGCAACGGTGACAGTCACGAATATGGACTTCAATGTCCGCTGTCATCCCGGGCCAGTAGAAACGTTGGCAGACCAGGTCAATGGTTTTATCTCTGCCAAGATGTCCGACGTCATCGTGTAACCCACAGAGAATACGCTTTCGCATAGCACGAGGGACCACAAGTTGTTTTAGTTTTGCACCATCTACCAGGCGTTCCCGAAACAAAATTTCATCCTTGAACACAAGGCGGTGTTTTTCTTTCAACAACCGGTTAACCATAGTGTTCCCATCATTCACGTTGCCAGTTCCAGTAGTTTGGCGAGTCAAGATCTCGATTACTCGTCCAATTTCTGGATCCTCACGTTGGATCAATTGCCATTCGAGTGGTGGAATCATGTCCACACCAATTCCTTCACGAGTGGGACTTGCTTCCTTACATATTGCTTCAATAGCTGATACGTCAATACCCAGCGTCTCTACGGCGGGACAGGTGGTTTCTTCGTTGGCGGGATCGAAGGCAATATGGTAATCACAAAGAGCTTGGAACTCCTGCTGGACATAAGTCACTACTGTGTCTGACTCTGATGCATGTAATCGTTCTAGAAACGGTCGGAGATACTCTGCGTCTGGCGTCATTTCTTCTCCATGTCGAGGGGTATCTCCTTCCCGAGGTATTCTAGAGAGTCCATCAGCATCACCACAACATTTCCCTGGCCGATAGCTTATCGTAAAATCGTAGGTCGACAAACTGGCCAACCAACGGTGATCAGTTGCACTAAGCTTTGCCGACGTCAGTAGGTAAGTCAACGGGTTGCTATCCGTGATAACATGAAACTTCCTACCGTACAGATAAGAACGAAACTTCTCTGTGACTGCCCATTTCAGTGCAAGAAACTCTCGACGATAGGCGCAATAGCGTTGTTCCGAATGAGTAAGGGAACGGCTCCCATACGCCAGAACACGCTTCTTGCCACTTTGCAATTGGTAAAGAACTGTAGCAGTGTTCTCAGTGGCCGTAGGAGTGATTACATCTTTAGCGATCTTCAGTGATGCCAGAACAGCTTTTGCTGGAATGACAACTGTATGGTCAGAGTTGTTAGTTATCTCTACTGGTACTCTGCAAGACGACTTATGCGGACCTACCGTAACAAGTCCTGGGGTAACAACTATTCCAGCTACTTGATCAGATCCCATACTGGTTTCCACAACAACTTGGGTTAATGATCCTGGACAACTGTTTGCCAACCCCATAAGTATCTTCGTTTCATGTGCAGCTATAGTGGTTGGATGACGACTCGTTGATTTTACCTTTGCGCCAAAGCTGTCTTGTCGCTGAAGAAATCGATCCTGTGACTGGACGAAATGGTATACTCGTTTCCAAGCAGATGAAACTTTGGCAGTTTGCAGGAAGTTCTGGCCCGCTATTTGTTGACATGCATTTCTGCATTGTTTCACTAAGTTAGTTCCGATTATAACTGGTACTCTCTGATTATAGCTGTTATTGGGCACAACTAGTGCAAGGGTTGTTAAAGTACCCCGAATACCGACATCAGTTTCAGGAAAACTGACATGTATGGTAACATATCCAAGGAATGGAACCTCTTGTCCACCAGCTCCAACAACACGAACTATGTTCTCGATAGGTTCAATAGGCTGGTTAAATAAATGTCTGTCGTAAAATAACTTCGCAATTGAAGTAACTTGGCTACCTGTGTCTAGCAATGCAAGACAAGCATGTCCATTGATAAACGCAACTGCCTCTGTGGCATCCCCAATAAGTTCTTTTAAAACATATGCCGATTTTTCGAGATGGGGGCATTTATATTCGCGTTTAGAACCTCTGGTTGCCCCTTGGCAGAGGTCCTCGTTCGTTTCCCGTCGATCTTTCTTCGCGTAGTGGTGGGTTTCTGCAGCCAATTTGTATGTGACCCGCTTGTCCGCACCGGTAACAGAACGGTACTTCGGTTGGCCATCCTCTCGATCGTCGGTCGTAATCTCTTTGCTCATTACCCACATTTCTTGCATCAGTTGGTTTTGCCTGATCCTTTAATACTTCTCGGACTTCCTTTGCCATGGCAGTGCAAATCTCAGCTATCCACTCTTTTTTATCCCCGTCATTATGTGGCTGGGGTGGAGACTTCTGGCCAGGCTCTTGATAAATGGCTTGATTGGCTCGAGCGAATTTTCGAGACGAATGATTAGAGCCCAGTTCCTTCTCTCCATATCTCGCAGCTGTTATCAATTCTGCAAACGTTTTGCAATTGTCCTTTTTGTACCGAGCTTTGTCTTTAATCGATTCTTTTATTCCTCCCCAGAATAACATTCGCAGCTGTCGTTCGACCGATTCGTCGTCTGGAAGGATTTCTGTGCCCCGTCTTTTCGCCCAACGCAAACAACTATCTAATCTCGACGCGAATGCTGCAACTTCCTCGTTCTCACCTTGCTTCATTTGATATGCTTCGGCCAATAATTCATCTCCGGTAGCCGCGCCGACATCGCTGTAAAACTGATCTAGTTTTCCCAAGATAGATTCACAGGATGTTTCAGAGCCAAACCCAACAATTTTTGCTTTCGCCTCTCCTTGCAACGAACGTCGTATTTGCTCCAAAATAACTTCGTCTGGATAGAATGCGCCTTTTATTACAGACTCGACTTCAAATCGCCAAACATTATATGCAACTCCTTTATTTTTATCACCGTCACTAAATCCAAAAAATGGGGAGAACTGAGGCTTCGATACTAAATGTACAGACGAAGATGTCTCACCGGTCGCTTTCTCACTCGAAGACGCAATGTTTGTAGAGCTTGTAGACAAACACACTTTTTCATCGATAATATTTACCCCGCACGCATATTTTAAAAACGCTTCGACACACACAAATTCCGCTTTATAACACGCTATAGCACACTTGTATCGCGTTGAATATTCTTCAGCCAACTGAGCCACTGTAAGACTTTCAAGTGATTCCTTTCCCTTTATAATTGTAAGAATTATACTCTTTTCAATCTCAATTTTTTCCGCCGCCGTAATTTCCATGTTACAAAAATATAATATTGTTTACGTTGTAGCTCTTTGCAAGTCGAATCGGGTCGGGAGGTGCCAAAATGTAGCAGAGTGCCTCACAAAGTGTTTGGCAAATACACAAAATTAAATGAGTCGCACACAGTTTCGTTTTATGTAATCTGTAATTTACAATAGCGAATTTGCTTCGCTATAAAGAACCCTCGTTTAATCAAATATATATAAACGCCGTCTCGTCAAAACAATAACCAATCTAGTGTATCATATGTCACTTCCTAAATATGTCAAAATAAACGCCTATTACTAATTAACTTATTAGTCAATCCGCTACACAAACAAAATCTTCTCGACCTTCGGTGTGTTATTGTCTATTTCGACATGATTGTATTTGTTTGAGAAAAGAAGGTTAATGTCAAAGTACTGACACTGTTCTCCGTAAAATATAGTAAAGGCAAAGCCATGGCATTATTTGATAGACAAGTGAGCGTGGTGTACTTCAAGAGCAAGAGAAGTCATAACATGTTCATTTAGTGTCAAAAAGGGCTTCTCAACAGTATTAGTCCATTTCTGTCATAATCTATAAACATTTTATCTCAAATACACATTGTTTTGTCCAAAACTTCGAGTTTATCCTCCGTATAGTGGATTTAAACTACCTCTGGACCTGGGATAAATTTATCCGACGGATAGTGCATTTTATCCGTTGGATAGCGCTATCCAAGTTTCGTACAACACGATCTTCACTCCTAATAATATTTATCCGTTGGATAGCGAATTATCCACTGGATAGCGATTACACCTTTCGTACAACTGGCCCCAGAATTTCTCATAATTAAGACATCCTATATCTGCAACTTTTAGCATACAGCTATAAGAGGCTCAGCAATAGTAAAATTTCCGATACCTTGGGCACCAAATCCCGATACTTTTTGGCATATTTGCACAATAGAAAATCTGAAAGTATCAGAATTTTGACACTTCTACTTCCCAACATGGCAAGATTTTAATTAAAGTCTTAAAATTCCATGCTTTCAATTTAAATATAGAGAGTGCATGAAAAAATTACACAATTTAAAATGGTTTAAGAATTAATGTGAATTTGGCAATTCCTGGATTTTCCGATTTTTCCCACATTTAAACCAGTATGAAAATTAAACTTTTGAGTGCAATTAGAAACCACATTAAAATTGGCTTGCGCACAAAAATGGAAGCTTTAACAGCCAACTTGAATTCTTAAGGTGCAAGTTTGGACAGTGTTCTAAGAACTATCAAGGTACTAGAGAACATGAGCTATACGTTCCAATACCTACTCGCGCGACCTCCAAAAAATAAGATGTTTTCTAAAAAGCGAATCACAGCCAAACTTAGCTATGAATGTGTTTCAAGGTCGTCAACGTTACGGGAAAATGTTGCTCTATTTTAGCTTGTAGTGGTGTAAACAATGAGAACTAAAACCCACATTTCAGGGTGTCATGTGACCAACCGAACACAGTGCCTTTTTTGTTTACCATCTAACTGCACATGCAAAACGCACTAGTGCTAGATTGCTCAGGAGATTGAAGCGCAAATATATTTTCTACAGCATTGCTTCAGCAATCCTTAAGATATTTTCAATTCCACAAGAGCTTGCGCTGCATGTGAGTGATGAAATAAACCTTAATTCCACAAAATTATTTCTGGAATAAATATGGAAAAAGAAAAAATACAGGTAGTACGTTTTTGAAAATGATATTTACCATCAATTTGGCAGCGGTCACCGGTATATCGATCCGGGCATAAGCAAGAGAATAATGTTCCATCATTTGAACAAGTCCCACCATTCATACATGGAGCACTGGCGCATGGAACTAAATTAGATTAAAATTAAAAATGTTAAGGCCCATGTAACCTGGAGTAGGCTCGGAGACTTCGATTAGCTTCCGCCAACGAAATTGGTTTATAAACCACACATAAATAACACAACATGCTAATTATAGAAGCCGTTTACTACATCCAGAAAGAAAGACGAACTTAACGTTTGCTAATTTCTCATCCTATGTTCATCCAAAATTAACCAAAAGTTAATCGATCCGTACAACAGGCAATGTCCATTATATCCTGTCAAATTTTCGTATCAGTATGTAAGATACTTTTTAAGTTACTGAACAAACAAAAAAACACACATACAGACATACAAACATGGATGAAAATATAACCACCTGGCAAGGTAATAAATGTTTAGGAATCTCACTCTCACATGCATTAGGTCATCGTCACATCAATAATACCGCATAATACCTAGCCTCTATGAAGACGTTTTTTTTAGTAGCTTTATCCCCGAGAACGAGCAGAGCGCATAGCGTGGTACTAATTCCGCTCGGCCATTTACATCCAGGAAAAAGGAGAGCTGGTGAATTGGCAAGTCCATCAGTAATAGCGGACGTATGTCAAAAATTCATGGGTTAACCTCGCATAGCTTAATAAAATATTGTAAATGTCAGGAGTGAAATGAGTTGGAATAGAAAATCACCAACCTGAAACACCAACAGCGTTAAATGGGACGAGCAGGGAAACAGTTTACACATTCTTATTTCTTTACAAAAGATTATATTGAAGGAAATATATTGAAGGAAATCATTAAAACTATCATACTAAACACCACAAAATTTAAGAGCGGCATATTAACCAACAGAAGGCAGCGATTATTTTGCTGGCCATCCATACATGTCAGCAAAAATCACAGGGCACCGGGTTGATCAGGACACTCTCAAGCGCAAATTTTTTTTTTCAACATTGCACCAGCAATGAAAATTTCCCAAACATTACCACCGAAAATATCCCAACAATTATGCTGTTGTTGTAAAGAAAATTTTATTTTGCAAAATGCAAAGATAGTTTCGAACGTGTAAACGATTACACATAAAAATTAAAATTAAAAATATACCAATAGTACATGTACCTGGTGTGGTTGGGGTAATACCAATTGTAGTATTCATCACCGGTGTATAAGACAGTGTAGTACCAACTGTAGTATTTATCACTGGTGTGGCCGGTGCTACACCATCTGTAGTATTCACCACTGGTGTGGACGTTGCTATACCAACTGTAGCATTCATCACTGGTGTGGACGGTGCTATACCAACTGTAGTATTCATCACTGGTGTGGACGGTGCTATACCATCTGTAGTATTCATCACTGGTGTGGACGGTGCTATACCATCTGTAGTATTCACCACTGGTGTGGACGTTGCTATACCAACTGTAGTATTCATTACTGATGTGGACGGTGCTATACCAACTGTAGTATTCATCACTGGTGTGGAGGGTGCTATACCAACTGTAGTATTCATCACTGGTGTGGACGGTGCTATACCATCTGTAGTATTCATCACTGGTGTGGACGGTGCTATACCAACTGTAGTATTCATCACTGGTGTGGACGTTGCTATACCATCTGTTGTATTCACCACTGGCGTGGACGTTGCTATACCAACTGTAGTATTCATCACTGATGTGGACGGTGCTATACCAACTGTAGTATTCATCACTGGTGTGGACGGTGCTATACCAACTGTAGTATTCATCACTGATGTGGATGGTGCTCTACCAACTGTAGTATTCATCACTGGTGTGGACGGTGCTATACCATCTGTTGTATTCACCACTGGTGTGGACGTTGCTATACCAACTGTAGTCTTCATCACTGGTGTGGACGGTGCTATGCCATCTGTAGTATTCATCACTGGTGTGGACGATGCTATACCATATGTAGTATTCTCACTGGTGTAGACGTTGCTATATCATCTGTAGTATTCATCACGGGTGTGGACGGTGCTATACCATCTGTAGTATTCACCACTGGTGTGGACGGTGCTATACCATCTGTAGTATTCATCACTGGTGTGGACGGTGCTATACCATCAGTAGTATTCATCACTGGTGTGGACGGTGCTACACCATCCGTAGTATTCATCACTGGTGTGGACGGTGCTATACCATCTGTAGTATTCATCACTGGTGTGGATGGTGCTATACCATCTGTAGTATTCATCACTGGTGTGAACGTTGCAATACCATCTGTAGTATTCATCACTGGTGTGGACGTTGCTATACCATCCGTAGTATTCATCACTGGTGTGGACGGTGCTATACCATCTGTAGTATTCATCACTGGTGTGGACGGTGCTATACCATCTGTAGTATTCACCACTGGTGTGGACGGTGCTATACCATCTGTAGTATTCACCACTGGTGTGGACGGTGCTATACCATCCGTAGTATTCATCACTGGTGTGGACGTCGCTATATTATCTGTAGTATTCATCACTGGTGTGGACGGTGCTATACCAACTGTAGTATTCATCACAGGTGTGGACGGTGATATACCAACTGTAGTATTCATCACTGGTGTGGACGGTGCTATACCATCTGTAGTATTCACCACTGGTGTGGACGGTGCTATACCATTCGTAGTATTCATCACTGGTGTGGACGGTGCTATACCATCTGTAGTATTCATCACTGGTGTGGAGGGTGCTATATCATCTGTGGTATTCATCACTGGTGTGGACGTTGTTATACCATCTGTAGTATTCACCACTGGTGTGGACGGTGCTATGCCATCTGTAGTATTCATCACTGGTGTGGACGGTGTTATACTATCTGTGGCATTAATCGCTGTTGTGGTCGGTGTTATACTATCTGTGGTATTAATTGTTGTTGTTGGTGTTATACTATATGTGGCATTAGTCATTGTTGTGGACGGTGTTATACAAACTGTAGTGTTAATCACTCTTGTGATCGTCTGCATACAAACTGTTCTTGTGCTTGTTGGTATAATCACTGTAGTATTATTAGTCGTTGTTGTGGTCTGTGTTATTCCAAGTGTAGTGTTAATCACTGTTGCCGACGGTGTTGTACCGACTGCAATATTTATCCCCGTTGTGGAAGATGTTATGCCATCTGTAGTATTAATCACTGTTGTGGACGGTGTTAAACCTTCTGTACCATTGATCACTGTTCTGGACGGTGTTATACCATGTGTACTATTGATCATTGTTGTGGACGGTGTTATACCATCTGTACTATCGATCACTGTTGTGGAAGGTATTATACCATATGTACCATCAATCACTGTTGTGGTCGGTGTTATACCACCTGTACTATAGGTTACTATTGTGAACGATGTTATACCATATGTAATATTAAACACTATTGTGGTCGTTGGTATACAAACTGTAGTGTTAATCACTCTTCTGATCGTCTGCATACAAACTGTTCTTGTACTTGTTGGCATACTCACTGTACTATTAGTCATTATTGTGGACGGTGTTACACCATATGTAGTATTAATCACTGTTGTAGACGGTGTTATACCATATGTAGTATTAATCATTGTTGTAGACGGTGTTATACCATATGTAGTATTAATCGCTGCTGTAGGGGTTGTTATACCATACGTAGTATTAATCGCTGTTGTAGACGGTGTTATACCATATGTAATATCAATCACTGTTGTAGACGGTGTTATACCATATGTAGTATCAATCACTGTTGTAGATGATGTTATAATACCATATGTAGTATTAATCGCTGTTGTAGGCGGTGTTATACCATATGTAATATTGATCACCGTTGTGGACGGTGTTACACCATATGTAGTATTAATCGCTGTTGTAGACGGTGTTATACCATATGTAGTATTAATCATTGTTGTAGACGGTGTTATACCATATGTAGTATCAATCGCTGCTGTAGGGGTTGTTATACCATACGTAGTATTAATCGCTGTTGTAGACGGTGTTATACCATATGTAGTATCAATCACTGTTGTGGACGGTGTTATACCATATGTAGTATTAATCGCTGTTGTAGGCGGTGTTATACCATATGTAGTATTGATCACCGTTGTGGACGGTGTTACACCATATGTAGTATTAATCACTGTTGTAGACGGTGTTATACCATATGTAGTATTAATCATTGTTGTAGACGGTGTTATACCATATGTAGTATTAATCGCTGCTGTAGGGGTTGTTATACCATACGTAGTATTAATCGCTGTTGTAGACGGTGTTATACCATATGTAATATCAATCACTGTTGTAGACGGTGTTATACCATATGTAGTATCAATCACTGTTGTAGATGATGTTATAATACCATATGTAGTATTAATCGCTGTTGTAGGCGGTGTTATACCATATGTAATATTGATCACCGTTGTGGACGGTGTTACACCATATGTAGTATTAATCGCTGTTGTAGACGGTGTTATACCATATGTAGTATTAATCATTGTTGTAGACGGTGTTATACCATATGTAGTATCAATCGCTGCTGTAGGGGTTGTTATACCATACGTAGTATTAATCGCTGTTGTAGACGGTGTTATACCATATGTAGTATCAATCACTGTTGTGGACGGTGTTATACCATATGTAGTATTAATCGCTGTTGTAGGCGGTGTTATACCATATGTAGTATTGATCACCGTTGTGGACGGTGTTACACCATATGTAGTATTAATCACTGTTGTAGACGGTGTTATACCATATGTAGTATTAATCATTGTTGTAGACGGT